GAACAGAATTAAAGCTGTGTAGATAGAATTTTATCTCAGATTAATGAAAGTGGACGGATGAAAGACCTTGGTGTGCTTAGATTCATGCCCTCAGATTACCCCCACCATTCATAGCATCTACCCCAGGACTCTGGGAGAAATCTCCTCAGGGCAGGCCCCCGAGGAAATTTCCATAGTATGCAACTTGTCATTGCTGTGACTGCAGTTTTGTTTCTTTCCAACCCTGCCAGCTCTGCTTCTCCTTTGTGTCCCCCAACACGAATGTCTTATTACTGGATTTTATGGACTGACATTCACTTTCCTTGCCATCATGATTCTTAGTACTCTAGACAGTCCATCCTGTCTCTGAGTATATTTCATTTGATGAAATCTACTATTGGTTTGTGTTCCAGCTTCACTTCTGTTGCTGTGATAAATATCACAACAAAGCAACATGAGGAAAGAGAGGATTTATTTGGCTTACACTTCCAGCTCACAGTCCATTGTGGAGGGAATCAGGATAGAAAATCAAGCAGGAACTTGAAGGCAGGCCTGCTTGCTGTTCCACACAGCTCTACCTCTAACCAAGGAATTCACTCACAGCTGAGATAATAGAGCAGGAGATTTATGCTTTTACATTCCAATCCTTGCATAGGGCATGATGCTACCTATAGTGGACATTTCCCTCCCATGTCAATTAACAATCAAGACCATTCCTCACAGATATGTCTACAGACCAATTTGATCTAGAAAATGCCTCACTTGAGATTCTCCTCTTTGGTGATTTCTAGGTTGTGTCATGTCAACAGTTGAAGCTGAGTAGGACAGCTAGTATTCCCTAGTTCCTAACTCTGTTAGTCAGGATTCTCTAGAGGAGCATAACTGATGAAGGATCTATTGAATGACTCACAGGCCTTGGTCTAGCTAGTCCAACAATGGCTTCCCACCCTCAGAAAGTTTAAGAATCCAGGAGTTGTTCCATCCACAAAGCTGGGTGTCTCAGTTGGTCTTCAATATGTGCTGGAATCCTAAAGAAGTAGACTCTAATTCCAGAGAAGGATCGGTTGGACTTGCTGGTGAGGATGAGGGCAAGAGGCAAGGAGCAAAAGCCCTGATTAAAGGTGCCACCCCTTAATCTTCCCACCTCCAAAGATCTGGATTAAAAGTGGGTCTTCCAACTTCCAGTGATTTCCTTAAGAAAACTTCCTCACAGGTGTAACCAGCTACTTGGGTTTTAGTTAATCCCAGATGCAGTCAAATTGACAAGCAAGAATGGCAGCATGCTAACCCTTTGTCAAGAGGATTTTTGTGGGATTTTCTAAATGGAGTTCAAGAAAGTGGAATAGGGAGCGAAGATGAAAAAGGGGGGCTAATATGTATCTTCCTCATGGAAGTGAACACAGATAGTATATGGACATCTTGAAATTATTGCTTCAAACATTGTCTCAGAAGGAAAAGCTATGACCAAGATCTAGAACCAACAATGAGACACAATTTAAAGAAATCTCTTCAATGAGTTTCAGGCAATTTCTTTAACCTCCAATGCCTTAGTAAACAATGTAGAACCTTCTAGTGACAAATCTATGAGATGGAAACTGTCCAAGTCAGAGATGACTTGTATCAATTCTGTGTCTCATGGTTCATTACTAACAAATGACTATGGAGAGAACCTCTCATTGTGCCTTTAGTTTTTTAAAATATACATAAAATTATGAATGTGTACATGACATGAAAGTAAAAATGAAACAGTCTAGGAATTAAAAAGGGACAAATGAGAGAAGATGGGATTAGAAATAGAAAAGTAGAAAAGTTATGGGGATGTATGAGCAATGTACAATATATACTTGCATGAAAATGTTTTTGTGTAAAAACAGTATTATGTATAATGAACATATACAATGACAGTTTAAAAACTGGAGCAAAAATAAAATGTGAGCAGATCGAATTATTTATGATATTTATTCTAAGGCATACTTGCAAGTACAATTATATTGTTGACCTCTATAACTCTTTTACATAAAAGAGAAGTAAAATAATGGCCTCCTAGGTATAATACACAGGCAAATGTACTTTTTCCTTCAAATCTGTGAAGGCAAGAACCCTTAGCTCCAGCTCTGCCCTTCATCTGCTTCCATAAATGCCAGGCCCTGGGATCTGAACTAAGGGGCTGCTTTGTGGTCCCTTTCCTGTGTCCCTTCATCTTTCATCTTCACAAAAGTGTGCTCTGAAGAGTGGCAATTATGTGCCATTGAGTGCTGTTGGAATATCAAAATATATCTTTCTGTGAAAGTCCCCTTTTTTCTCTGTAAGGTTGCCCTTCACAGGATTGTTTTTTGAGGCATGGCTTCTCTACAAACTTTCCTCTTTATTCACCATTTTCTAATCAACTCAGAGCAGAGCAAATAAATTTTCAGCCAGCAGCCTATAGAGTTCTGCTGTTTACCCCTTGGTACTGCATATTGAAATGTTTGCTTCTGATACCTTTTCTGAAAAAAAAATCTGTTTTTATTATTTTTAGTTTTGTGTATATGTGTGTGTCTATGAGCATGGATGAGTGTGGGTATCCATGGAGACAAGAGAGGGAGTCGGATGCCTTGCAGCTAGAGTTACAGGTAGTTTTGAGTCACCTGACATGGGTGCTAAGAACCAAACTCAGGTCCTCTTTGAGAACAGTGAGTACTGCTGAGTCATTTCTCCATTCTCAATACCCTTTAAAAAAGAATAAATATGCTGACTAAACTGTTACCAGTCCTCAAAATTGTTGACAGCTCTTCACTGTACTTTTCTGCCCTCTGACAGAAATGGCTGGATCCAACCAGTGGAGCCTGGCTCTGCCCATAAGGAGGCAGCTACTCTCTCTGGAAGCTTTTAATATCCTTCTGCATGAGAACAGACCTGGTTTATTGCTCCAAGATGATTTGCAGCAGAAGCTGTGTCTACATAAGTACAGAAGTGATTAAAGGCACATCGGGGTTATTGGTCCTGCTGTTGGGGAAGGAAAAAGTCCACAGAGCAAGTTAGCTGAGATGATGCTGGCATGGAGCAATGGGGCAGCAGACAAGACAGACTAGATTTGTAGCCTTAGCTTTCCTCTCGGGCTCATTGTGAGCCCTGCTGCAGTCAGGTGTCATTGTGATGGCAGGAAATATGCTTTAGTTAGCTGTAACTACACATTGTAAGTTGTTGTAACTACAGAAACTATAGTGTAAACCAATACTGTTTTCAAAGTCCAGTGGGCACTAGAGGAAAAACAGGGCTTACATTTCTCACCCTTTCAGGCAGGAGGCTCACGGAACAGTGGTAGGAGACTAGGCTATATTTGTCAGCCAGTCTGGATTTAATTTTTCTCTGCCTTTTTTCAAGTGATGACCTGAAGCAAAATTCTTACTGTGAGCTTTAGATAGTTTTCTTTAAAAATTCTTGTTGTTGTTGAATTACATTCACTTATTTTGTGTGTGGAGTGTATGCTGTGTCATGCATGTGGAGGTCAGAGGACAACCTATAGGAGTTGGTTCTTTCCTTCATGTATGTGCTTCCCAGGGATTGAACTCATGTTGCCGCCAGGTTGGTGGCAAGTGCCTTTACCCACTGAGCCATCTTGCTGCCCCTCAAGTTTCATTAGTTATATTAGTGTGTAATTCAATTTTCCCTGCAATGTGACAGACCATGTGGTAATAAACTCATGGGAAGAAATGTTTCCTTTGTCCTGTGGTTTCAGAGGTTCTAGTCCATGTTTACTTGTGTGGCATTGGGTCTGTGGTGACAACTGGGCTTGGTGGGAGTTTGTGGAAGAAGAGGCCTGTTCAATTCATAGGGGTTTTAAAGCTCTAGAGAAGTGAGAAGTCACAAAGGTACCATTGTCCCCTTCAGGGACACGTTCCTGATGTCCTAACTTCCTCCCATTAGGCCCCACCTCCTAAAAGTTCCATCATCATCAAACAGCATCACTGTGGTGTTTGAACCTTTAATATGTAGGACTCAGGGAAGATTAAGGATTTAAACTGTGGGAATTATCTTATGGAGTCATAAAGACCAAATAAAATGGTACAAAGCAAGGGTTTATTACTACTGTAACCTCTTTATGTCTATTCCCTCCAGAATTCATAAGCTGAGATTGAATCCCTAATGTGAGAGTATTAGGAAGTGAGACTAATGGGAAATGATTAGATTATTAGATTGTTATTCTATCCCAATCTTCTGAATGTGAGAAAAAATTATTTTGCTCATAAAACATTCAGTCTATGGCATTTTGTTTTTGTGGTCCAAATGGACTCTCAGAATAACCAACCCTGACACACACTAAGTGTAACAAATATCTATCCTAAATCCCGTTTAAGGAAGGGGCATGCTAATCCCTTCTGGTATCATCTCAGGGATGGAAACAGTTGCTTATCTCCTCGGAAAACCCATCTTTGATAACTTTAAAGGAAAATACCTCAAAATGCTCTCTGGCCATCTCCCTCCACTCCCAGGAGTCATATCTTTCATTTTGTGCTTATGCTCTTCTTTGGTCGTTTGTTATTTTTGCCAGGCTAGTGCTTAGCCCACCAAGGTAGACAGAGCCCACACTATCTCTTGTGATTTTATGCGTATGGTAAGCATATGTGCCTGTTTGTTCACATGTGTGTGGAATTGAAGTATAAGCGTGTGTGTGTGTGTGTGTGTGTGTGTGTGTGTGTGTGTGTGTGTGTGTGTAGGCATGAAATGGCATCCAGTGTCGTTCTTGAACAATCTTCACTTCCTTGTTGTGGTCCCTACCTCAGTTGAACTCAGAGCTCACCAATCTGTCTAGTCTAGATAGCGAGCTTACTCTGGAGGCGTTCTTCTGGCCTCTCACTTTGTGGAATTACAGATGAGTCACAGTGCCTGCCGGGCTTTTATGTAGGATTTGAGGGTTTGATCTCAGGTGCTCACATTGGTGCAAAGAATTCTTTAATCATCAAGCCATCTCCTCAGCCCTTAAACGCTCTTCTGCTTTAGCTGTAGTTACCTGTTTGTTTACTTTTACAGTGTTGTAATGGGGCTGATCAATGCAATAAGGATGGCTTGGGCAGTGTGGAGAGGAGCTGGCTGGAGATCTCCCCTCAGAGACGAGGAGAGTGCTCTGAAAACACTGATGCATGTGCAGGTGAGATCAGAGCAGAGTTGTGATCTGACATCAGCTGAACTCCTGGGATAGCTCCCCTTTCAGCATTTTCTTTGGAAACAATGTGTGACTTTGCTGAAAGGAGAGAGAATAAGAGCGAGTCTTGTGGGTTGAAACCATCTCCTGAGCACCTGGGAGAGCAGAGCAGAGTGTTCCAGGGCTTCCTGCTTCGTCAACAGGTTCTGGCCAAGTCCCCGAGGAGCACGGGGGACAGCTACCATCATCTTCATTGGCTAAGATTGTCACAATGAAATCGGCCACATCGCTCAGAATATTAAATTACTCCTATTTTTAGAGCGGCTCTGCCTTTCAACGGTAAGTACCTCCTACTACTATGCGTCCCCTGCTGCTTCCCCGACATGCACAGGCTGCCTGGTGATCAACATCCCCACCAGAGTGGCTCACCTGCTACAGTAGATGAACCACACTGACAGGTCGCAACCCCCTAAAGCTCACAGCTCACACTGTAATTCCTCCTCGGTGTGTGCTCCCTATGGATTTGAGCCAATGTAAGGTGGTGTGATCTCACCATGGCCGCATCGTACAACGTGTTTCCACTGCTCTAATAATCCACTCATCCATCTATTCGACCCCTCTGCCTGTCTGAAAACTCTAAAAATCCCTGTTTAAATTATCTTCACAGTTTTGTTTTCTTCCATTTTCATAGATAAAATATATGAGAGAGGAAGTTTAAGACGCTCATGCTTTTATGGATGTCTCACCCAGGTCTTAGGTAAATGGCCTGGGGCTTATCACAGCCATTTTGCTTCAGGTTTTCATCTTGTATGCTGGTGTGTGGATTCAGAATCTTATGCCTTCAAGGTGGACTTCCACCCTTAGCCCACAGCATTGCACTTTGCCAACTGTGTAGGCTTTCGCAGAATGCACTCTCCTTCTATGCCCGAAACACACGCAGGCTTAAGAAGGATTAAAGTTAACTCTAAGCTTATTGCAAACCGCAGTATCTTCAGTGACCAGGTAAATAGGATTAGACTGATGCTAAGGAGTAGCGATTAGGGAGGATGGGGAGGGATGGAGAGATAGCTCAGTCAGTATGGTACTAGGAGTCAGTATGGTACTTAATTCAGTCCATAGAACACAGGCAAATATTTATGGCATAATCTCAACACTGGGGAACTAAAGATAGGCAGATGCCTGGAGAGCCAGCCCAGACTGCTTGGTGAGTTCCAGGTCAGTAAGAAACCCTGTCTCAAAAAAAGAGTAAGGCAGGTGGTACCTGAGTAACAACACCTGAGGGTGTCCACCTATATGTACACACATGTATGTATATCTGCACATATATGAACACACACAAACACATATACACATACATCAGAAAGGAGTAGTGTGGACTGTGGCTAACAGAAAATACATGCTGTATGTGATTTGGACAGCTGCCTACTCACTTCCAACTTTTTGTTATTATATGAGAAAGCGCAGTCATCTGGGGAGCACAGACCTCAATAACTGAGTTTCCATATGAATTTTCCTGACTTTAAGTCATAATATAATCCAAAAACTTGCAACATCTGCATACTTATAGGTTGGCAGGTTTTGAGCCCTTCACTTAGTAATTCACGTCAAAACAGTGTCGTGTGAGAGGGCAGGTGCACTGTAGTTCAAACCCTTGATATGACAAGGGCCCTTTTGTTATTATGAGAAGATAAATAACCGTTTTGTAGACCTAGAGCTTGTCTGTAGAAGACCTAGGACTTTTTACCAGTCTCAGCCCTCAGACCAATGTTCCTCTTGCCCTGCTTAGTCATGGTTTAGACAGGTACATAAGACTAATCAGAAACTGCTTTTTCCACTGCTGATTGGATTTGGAGGTTAAAGAAGGCAGGATAAGAAAAGGATTGGATTTCAAGGATTATATGATTGACCTAACTTACTATTTCTTAAGCTACTGTGTAATTGAAATCATCTTTATAATATGTTCTTTCCTTCACGGGCACTCAGCCTTAGAAGGCCACTGCCACTCCTATATAAATAAAAAAATTTTTTTTGCATTGCTTGAGGTAAAAGTACCAGCTAGTTATTCTATCTCACAGGCTAAAAGTCCTAATAGTGTACACTCAGATTTACCCTTTCACTAATTCCACTGTCAATAGACTTGGAAGGAGACTTCTCTGGAGGAACTCCTTCCAAGGTGACCTAGGAACCCACTTACCCTTTACCCTGGCACACAGCTCTCCTTATCCATCAACTATAGAGAAGAAGGCTCACATCTGAGAAAGATGAGAACATCTTGTCTCCTATACTCCACTGCCTGGAACTGGTCATATGGTCCATGCTCCAATGCAAGGTAAAGAAGAAAGGTCTTCCATGTTTCTAGGAATATAGAAAAGTTGATTGCTAAAAAAATACAGTATTTTTAATATAAAGAAAAAAAATGAAGCCAGAAACAGTGAAAGAATGCCAGCATTGATCTGCAAGCACAAGATTTTCTTGCTAAAAACTTGATTCTCTCTCAGATTAATTGCTGTGTGTGTATGTGACCACATTCGTGTGTGTATGCACACGAGTGCCTGTATGTGGAGTGCAAAGCCCAATGTTGGGTGTCTTCCTCTACTGCACTCCAGTTTATTTTTGAGATAGAATGTTTCAGTGAATCTGGAGCTGGGCATTTTAGATAGACTGGCTGAGCAGCAAGCCTTAAGGATCCTCCTGCCTCTGCCTTCCAAGTGCTAGGATTACAAGCATGTGCCACTGTGTCCAGCTTTGTTTCTAAAGTGGGTTGTGGAGGATCAAACTCAGGTACTCAGGCTTGTAGGGCAAGTTTTTATTTTGATTCTCTGTGAATTTCGAGGATCAAGTTAGGAGGCTGAGAAGAGGAAGACCAGGGGCACCCTTGGCAGCAGATGCTGCCTGGGGTGAGAATGTAGAGTATTCTCATCCACCAGTCAGATTCCACAAAGGCATGCTTGACCTTGCTGAGTGATCCTCTGGAATATGATTCTGATTAAAAATGTCCCAGAATCTAGAAGGGCCAACAAATTAGACGCTTTCTCTAATTCTGGAGGGTACAGGGAATGTTGGCCATTTTCAGAGAACTGACCAATCTTTCTGTCAGTCTTTCCTCATAAAAATATGTACTTTCCCATACTCCAGGAAGCCTGGGGCTTTGTTTCATGAATATAGATTAAAAAATAAACATGTGCTGGTGTGTGTGTGCATGTGCACATATATGTGTGTGTATGAGGGAGAGGGAGAAAGAGGTGTGTTTGAGGGAGAGATATATACATGTGAGATGTGTGATGTTTGTGTATGAGATGTGTGTATGTGTGTGATGTGTGTGTTTCTATGTGTGTGAGATGTATGTGTACGTGTGACTATGTGTAATGTGTGTGTATGATGTTTATGTGTGATGTGTGTGTATGTGATGTGTGTGATGTATATGTGTGATGTGTGTATGTATGTGATGTGTATGCGTGTGCATGTGGCAATCAGAGGATAGATCAAGTGTTTGTACTCACATTTTGTATGGGGCAGGATCTCTTAGGTGTTTGCATGTGGGTACACTAGGTCAGCTGGCCCACAGCTTCTGGAAATTGTCCTGTCTCCACCTCCAGTCTTGCCTTAAGAGTACTGGGATCACAGAAACATGTTCTCACCCTCAGGCTCACATAGATTCTGGGAGTCTGAACTCAGGTCCTCACACTTGCATGTCAAGCACCTTGCCCACTGGGCCATCTTCTTAACCCAGATCACAGAACTTTTTCTCACTAAGTTTTAGAAACCAGCACTGGTTTTCCTTATGAGCCTAATAGAGAAAAATTGGTTCAGAAACAAGGGAAAGTAAAATGCTTCTTTGTGCAAATACATTAACAGGGGCAACATCACGTACAGTGGTCTTAAATTTAGAGGAAAACTAGTCTTGTACGGAATATCATATTTGCATTAATACACAGATTTAGGTACCAGACATTCTCTGAATTTAATTGCTTCCCATGGAGGCAAAGCAGCCATTGCTCAGCTAGTTCTCAGAAGCAGTGAATGGAGTTTGCTCTGGTCCATCCCTATGTCAGAGCATCTGACTCACTAGAACACCTCCCTTATCTTGGTGTTTACGTGTCTGGGTGGAGACTTTCTCAATGACTGTCAGGGTTAGGATGCTGAGGATGCTGGAAGTTGATATCAAGCTTCATAAACCCTTCATCAGTCTTCTAGGACTTTGGCCATAAATAGAAAATACTATTGGGGGAGGGAGGGAGGGAGGGAGGAAGGAAGGGAGAGAGGGAGAGAGAGAGAGAGAGAGAGAGAGAGAGAGAGAGAGAGAGAGAGAGAGAGAGAGAAGGAGGGAGGGAGGGAGGGAGAGAGGGAAAAGTTGGGAAGCTAGGTGAGTATGGAGTTGGGAAAGGGAAAGGAATATGATGAAATTTTATGAAGAAAAACTATCAAAGACTGTGTGACTTCAGCAACAGAACTTTGATGCTATTAAGGGTCTGAAGTTGTTGAAGGTATCCAAACCACTTTTTCAATAATTTGAAACTTTTTATTTTATTTTTAAAGTGCGTGTGTGTGTGTGTGTGTGTGTGTGTGTGTGTGTGTGTGTGTGTGTGTGTGTGTGTGTACATGTGAGTGTAGTGCCCACAGAGGCTAGAAGAAGACATCAGATTCCTTGAAGCTAGAATTGTGGGCAGTTGTGAGCTGCGTAATGTGGATCCTGCTAGTTCAGTACTCAGGTCCTCTGCAAGAGCAATATGCATTCTTAACCACTGAGTTATTTCTCCAACCCATTCCTTTTTGTGTTTGTGTGTGCAAGTGCTTGTGTCTGCGTGCAGAAACCACACATCAAAGTTGGGTGTCTCCCTCCATCACTCTATACCTTTTGAGAAAAACTTTCTTACTGAACCTGGGGCTCACTGATTCAGCTAGACTTGCCAGAAAACATCATGGACATTCCTGTCTCTACCTTCTAGGCCCTGGGATCACAGCGCATGGCACTCACTTTACTTGGCTTTTTGTGTGAGTGCTATGGATCAAGCTCAGGTCCTCATAAGTGCACAGTGGGTAATTAACTGACTGAACCATCTCCTCAGCCCCAGAGTGTCTTTTTGTTAGCATTGAGATGGGACATTAGATGAAGGCACCTTGACCTTGGGGACCACTCTGGGCTTCTGGCTTCTGTACATCCTGAGAATGTCTTGTTACCCTAAGTGATAAAAGCATCTTTTCATGTTCTTCACACATCCAACCTAGACCTTGTCAGAGTTCTCCTTTATGTGCGTGTGTGTACATGGAGAGGCCAGAGGTCGATGCTGGGTGTCTTCCAGAGCTTTTGAGACAGAGCCTCTCATTGACCCTGCAGTTCA